CCACTATAGCATTGTCGCGGCTATCTTTCTGCGGCTTAATTTTCGATTTATTAGAAGCAAAATATATTTTCACATATTATAAATAATACATTCCGAAACTGCCGGAATTATTACATATATTCGTCATGCAAAGGGCAACAAATTATTGAAATGTTTAAGAATTCCATTAAACCTTTTTGACGTAGCTGCAATAGGAAAAATATCTTCTATCATATTCTAAACAATTCTAAGTTTTATTGTTTAAAAGATTACTTACATTCTTTACCCCGAATACGTCTTTCCTGCAACTCTTCCAATTATGCTCATAACGTTTCAATGTCCTCCTCATGCTGCATAGCTTGTGAAATAGAAGTTGTTTCCTTGGGGTCATTTTGTTCCTGCTGGTTACTCCAATCGAATGAAGCAATTCGCTTCTCACATGCAGCGGTAAACCTATTAAATACTTTTACTTAATACTTTAGAACATTATAAAAACTTACCGATTTCACTATCTACATTATGCGTAGGCATCGAAAAAGTTGATTCTTGTTCCTGTTCGACAGAAGTAGAATCATCAGGGAAGTTTCTTTACCTGATAAGTTTTTTGTTATTACAAACATTTTTTCTGTCAAAAAAGTATCTCTACCTGTGTGCGGATGTGTCTCCGAATAACTAGCCGATGGCATGCAAATGTTAGGAGCTATAAAACTTTTGGGAATAGCTTTTGTCAGCAGAGTCTTCCTTTCGGGAGTTTGTAATTGAGATACTATAATATGGTTATTGCATACCGAATAACAGTAGTATGAGCTAATTTAGACAATGCTAGATTATTCACAACGTCCATCCAGTGTTGAAACATAATCGCACCATGAGGAAACATGTGGAACCTCACATCCGGATTCCCGTTACGATTTTCGCACTACAAAAATGCACACTTTTTATAATAAAGTCAAGGCATGATCTGAAGCAATAGATAAATAAGGCAGTGGTATCTTTTCCCCTAGTTATCTATATTTTTTAGCACAACTTTTAGTATGAACAACAAACTATGAAACAATCACAAGATCACTAGCAAAATCGAGTCCAACACGTGTTCTGCAAGCAGTAAAATGCAACGCAGCAAAGTTTTTGTTATACGGCAACTGCTGATCATACATAAAGACGTGCTGCTGATTACAGTGATGATTAACGACAGCCACAGTTGTCTTCATCTATGGACAGCCACATGGCGAGTTTAATTTTTCTTCCCGCCAACAACGCGCCTCTTGCATTTGTTTACGGAACTAATTTTGTGGTCAAGGCTATCCCATTGAATTGTCATGGGGGTGAAAAGCGCTCTTGCCTTGTCTATCCCCACTACTCGTGTTGTTTCTTTATGATTTCCTACCTGTTCCCACAGAACATACCCCCAGGGGGGATATTTTGTGCCTGTTCCTAACCTAAGTTGCTTATTATTTGTTGCTATTAGTGTCATAGAACAAGGATCAGTGTGTGTTTTATCTTTAATTTGTTTTGATTCAAATAGTGTTCAGTGTATATGCGAGTGTTAGGGAGAACGATCATAAAACATTGATTCCCGGTAAGTTTCCCAGATGAAACTTTATTCTGTAGCGTTTTAAAGCTTTTTAGCCGTTTTTTACCCGGCAAAGTATCTGCAATTTTTGGTCTTTTCCCTGCTAGCACATTAGAAATTAACCAGTTTCAACCTCTCTAGTTTCTAGTTACATTTACCATCATTTTCAGCATCTACGAATGCAAATAAGATGCCCCCAACGTTAACAGCAACTAAACAAACCACTCAAAACGGGGAATTATCGTCTAAAGAAGCGGGGAGCCCAAAAGAAGCCAGTGGTTCCCGCACTAAAAGCTCCCCACCTCGTATCAGTTTACGAATATTAACCCGGAAAACAAAAAACAATCAAACCAGCCCAAATGGGCAAACTAATGCAAGAGGAAGTCAAGTGAAGAAGTCACCTAAAGCAAGCAGCATCTCAAATAGCGATAATAAGGGGCGAAGCCCCACATCAGCCAGAGCCTCCCGTAAAAGCGCAGCTGCTCCCAAGAAGAGTAAAAGCAATGCAGCCAAGGACTGTGCCCCATCTAGTAAAACCCTGAAAACACCCAAGAAATCTTCAGATTTGGATCTGTTGTCACCTCTTGAATCTAAGCGCCCCAGAAAAACCAGTGAAAAGGCCGCTAAAAGCGCTCCAAATCGTACTAGCCCACGAAGAATAACCGGCAAATCGCAAGACGATCAAACCAGCCCAAATGGGGCCACTTTAAGCATTAGTGGCAGGAATGCAGGAGGAATTGAAGGGAAAAGTTCCCCGAAAGCAAGCAGCAGGTCGAAAAGGGACAATAAGGGGCGAAGCGCCGCCTCTACCAGAGTCTCCCCTAAAAGCGCAGCTGCGGCCAAGAAACGAAAATTTAATCCAGCCAAGGACTGTGCCCCGTCAAGTAAAACGCTGGAAATACCCAAAACTTCAGATTTGGACCTGATATTACCTCTTGAAGTTAAACGCCCTAAAAAAACCACTGAAAAAGCCGCCAAAAGCGCTTCAGTTCGTACCAGCCCACGAAGATTAACCGGCAGATCGCCAGACGGTCAAACCAGCCCGAATGGGGCCACTTTAAGCATTAGTGGAATAAATGCAGGAGAAATTGAAGGAAAAAGTTCCTCGAAAGCAAGCAGCAGCTCGAAAGGGGATAATAAGGGGCGAAGCTCCACCTCTACCAGAGTCTCCCCTAAAAGCGCAGCTGCGAAACGAAAATTTAATCCAGCCAAGGACTGTGCCCCATCAAGTAAAAAAATTCGAAATCTAAAGGCGCAAGTAAACAATTCGAAATCTAAAGGCGAACTGAATAATGAAGATATAGAAGAGCGGCTGTTGGCGTCCCCAAAGCGCAACACCGACCAGTCGGAAGCCTTTAAGAGGTATGGCGTAATAGTGCCCTCGATTGAAGAAATGTTGGCTGAGAAGAACAACCTGGTGAGCTACAGGCAGCATGTGGAAGAAGCGCAAAAGATCGATGAGCCCACTTTTGTCTGGCCCAGTTTACCTAAGCGAGAGCAATTTTGCGAGCCGATGCTGGACTGCAAGAGTCTAACTTTAGATGAGCTCACTGAGCAGTTTAATCTCAATGTGAGTTTCCTGGCTGGAATCAGTGGGGGAAAAACATATTCGGATAGACATCAGCGTTACCACAACTCCAACCAGTGGCAGCACAAATTCACCCTCAGGGACTTAACGTATAATACCAGCACTATAGTGTTCAGTTTCGAGCAAGTGGATCATTTGGCCACTTTGATAGACGGTGGATTTCCCGACCAATCCAAGTATGTGTTCCAAGTGCTGCTGCCTGAACTGTGCCTGAAGATTTTCATGAACCAGCACGACATGAGCAAGCTGCAAGCCAAGAAGTACTTAGACATGCGACCAGTTGAATGAGCAAATTTACTTTATGAAATATACAAGTTTTTGTTTAATACAGATCTGTTATTGCTAAGCAAGCGCGTCTGTATCTCTTATCGTTGTCGGGTGAGATAAGACGGTTGTTTTCTTGTTGATTGAAGGCGAAATGTGAAGCAACAACAGTCTTTGGCCGATCGCGTTTTGTGTTGAAGCTGCCAGGAAAGTTAGATGGTTCCTTTGGGGAAACTGTTGCTGCAGGTTCCTTCTCGAAGTGTGCGCAGTCTGATTTTCAGAGCCATGTCGGCGAACTCCGGCGAATTGTTGATTAACAGTCCCAAGTACGCATTTTTGAAGGAGTTGGGATTGAGCGAGACGAATCTGGGGGTGTTTGATGGGGAGTGGAGGGCAAACGGCCAGGTATGTATCAAGGGGCGCATTTGGTAGCTGGGAATCTTTAAAGAAGAGTAGTGATGAGCAAAACAAGACCAAGACCATTATTTGCCTGGTTTTGGTCTTGGTCTGGCAGCAAAGCAAGACTCTTGCAAGTCTTGCTTTTATATAGCCGTAAAATCAAACGAAATAAATTCAATAATAATAATTAAATTAAAAGGTAATACTAATCAATAGGAAACAACAAAAAATCTCAGACTATCTGCTATTTAATAAGTTGGGCTTATACAGGGTGTCCCACCGAGAACCGCGGCGATCGATATCTAGCAAACTGTAATTAGGTGAAATTTGACAATTGGACAGTGTGCCGAAGTCATTGGGGGCAAGCGATCTAAAATATTTTCAAGATGGCCACACTTCCGGTTATACCGGAAGTAGGTATCAATTTGCTTATTTTCAATGGAACACTCTGTATATTATTGCATTTTTTAATTCTCCGCGAAATTGTAAATATATTTCATGTATAATATCCTATACCTGAGTCTAACCGTTTTTGATATATGGACATATTTGAAATTTTATGTAAAAAATCATTATCATTCGTCATTTGTCCTATCACGGAATATGTGCTACTTAATTTGGCTCGCATTTCTTGTTGAAACGGACTTACTTTAAAGAAATTTCGGCAACATTTTGATAATTATTAATACAAGTGTTAACAAAAATTGCTTCAAAATGACGTTGGAAAAACCGCCCAAAATCATTTTTTTTTCAAATGGAAACCTACATTTTTTATAATTTTGTCTTATTCAGTATTAAAAATAAGGGCCAGTTTGTATATGGTTGTCTATTCCAAAAGTGTTGAGTTTTCTAAATATTGCATTTTATTATTAATAACAGATGCAGTACTGAATGTAGTTACCGATACTGCGAAATTAAAAAATATCCTTCAATGAGAAATTGCGAGTCGACAAAAGTGTAATTTCCTGAAGCCAGTATGTATCCGCTCTTACTTTTATTCCAATCAAAAGATATTTTGTTTTGTAATCATGTGTTTATTTAAAATTATTTAAAATCCACACATTATTACAATACAAAATCTCGTTTGATTGGAGTTTCTTCAGTGTTTACACAATCGCTTTCTCCCTCTCTTACTTTTATACGTAGGGAAGAGTGTTGTACCTTGGGACATTTTTCGGTTTTTATTTTTTATTGTCAGTATTTTTTTAAAACCGTCATCTAATCTGAACGAGCAGATATAGTGCTATTTCAGCCATTTAGGGTAAAATTGGCAAAAAGGTAATGTTATGTTATTAACTAAGGATTTGAAAAAATATGTTCAATTGCAAATTGTTCCAAGTTCCTAATTATGCTTAAAGATGAGAAATAAACAAATGAAAAGTTATATAAAATATGCAAAAGATTTTTATTAATTCATTTTAAAAGAAATAGTCTACAGAAAACGAGAAGTGTTCCATTCGAGGATCCGATCCACCAACTACTGTTGGTTTCGTTATTTTTCTCAAAATGTCTGATTCACTGATTTCATATAATTCTTCAGTCTTCACAAATTTGTTACTATGCATAATTTTTTTTAGATAGAGCACCTCAAAACATCTTTCTTCCAAAATCTTTTGTATTTCTGCTATGCAATGACGTACAGATTTTTTCCCCTTGAGTTCGGTGAATACAAAATCTGCTTCTACTAAAGTGGAATTTTCTATATCTCTATCCTGTTCCATCTCCAAACTTTCTTGCTCAACCAATTTTTCCAAATAATCGTATTCATCACTAAAATCTTGGATAGGGATTTCGGTATTTTCATCGTCGGAACTATCTTCAAATACTTTTTTTGTCACTTTTTTAATTTTGTTTTTTTTGCCTGCTTTTCTGGGGTTTCTGTTAATATTCTCGATTTTCCCTTCTTCCTGCCTCCTTTGGTTTTTCTCGGTGCAGCAGATAAATCAATTAAACATTTTGTTGTATTTATGCATGTACCTTGGGACTGTCCAAAGGTACATGCACACTAGTGTCCAAAGTCAGCTTGAAACCATGAATAATTTTTGTTCATATTTTTTTTAGTTAGTAAATTGACGATTTTATATACTAACCAAAAATATAAGAAGGCATTAAGATATACACCCACATAATTCAATTTTCTCGAAACACTTACCTGAAGTCGTATCACACACCGTCGTTAGTGGCGAGAATTAAATTGATGCGCCAAAAACACAACAAACTGTTGTGAAATTAACAACTCTGCTGGAAGATCTAGAAAAAAATGCTCCATCACGTCAACTTTTATTTTTAAGGGGACATCTTGCTGACCATCACTGCATTATACAGGGTGTTTCATAAACACGATACTACGTCACACGTTTGATTTTCAAATGGAAACCAACTAGTTTTATGTCATTTTTTGATCCTGCCAGAAGTGTGTAGTAAATTTGTTATAGCATGTTCTATACCCATCTTCAACCGTTTAGTTTGAAAATGTTACAAAAGTTCTGCTAGGGTTTATTTAATCAGTTCCATCCAGACAGAACTATTCACGATAAGTATGTGGAAAGATTAATCAAGAAGTTTGAAAGATCTGGACCTGCGATCATCCGGTTTTGGGACACGTAGCACTTGACAATAGCCAAACCCTCATTTATTTAGAGAAGTCGATTTCCAACATCCCCGCAAGTTAAACGTTTGGGCAGGTATTTTATTAAATTATATTGTAGGACCGCTTTTTATTCCTGGAAACTTGTCGAGTTATACCTGGAGGTGCGGGAAAATACAATAGATCCAATACGTACGGAAATAATAGAAAACGGTTACCATAACGCCAAACATTTTCACTTTGAAGAAGATTACACACCACCCAATTATGTAGCTCCTGTAAGGCAATGTTTGGATCACAACTTTCCTGGTCGGTGGATTGGTAGGTGAGGTCCAATTGAATGGCCACCGAGGTCCCCAGACCTAAATCCTTTGGACTTTTTTCTTTGATGTATTTGAAAAGCAAAATTTATGACTAAATCATAGTCGATTGAAAAGGTTTGCCACCGGATTACGCATGAGCGCAGAAATACTTCTTTAGATAACTTGTTAAATGGCCGCAAAAGAATTGAGCAAAATCTCTATTACTTTATGTAGGAAAACTGACACCATTTTCAACATTTATTATCACATTGAAGTTCATATGTTTGCCTAATAAGTATTGTTTTTGCTTAATACTTCATTTATTTAATTTAAAGGAAATTATTAAATGTGGCAAATTTGCTACGAATCATGTAGAGTTAATTATTCACAGCATTATTGCAAGAATTTCTAGTTTTAAATTAGATTCTTAAACGAGTATTTAAGTTAAAAAAACGTTTAAGCCCACACTGACACTTGACGGCGACTCGGACTGACACTTGACGGTTGTTTTGAATAAACTGTCAGAGGCATCCATAGAAACGGCAATGTCCGAACGGCTCAAGATCTCGATCATTCAACAACAAACGCAAATAAAACTGAACCGGTTGAAGACGGGTATAGAACATGTTATACCAAATTTGGTAAAACCACCAAAAAACCAAAGGTACCAAAAAAACTTCTGGTAGGATCGAAGAATGACATAAAACTAGTTAGCTTCCATTTGAAAATAAAAAGTTTGTCGTAGTATCTTGTTTATGAAACACCCTGTATAATGCAGTGATGGTCAGCAAGACGCCCACTTAAAAATCAAAGTTGGCGTGTTTGAGCGTTTTTTTCTAAATCTACCAGGAGAGTCATAAATAGGAGTGCGACCTTTTCTTTGGCCCACCCTGTATAGGGAATATTAATTTCAAGTTCAGCTTCTACCTGCTCTGAGTTAGCAGCTACGAATATAAAGAGGGCGTACGGTTGGGTAGGAATGTCTATTTTTGGTCAACAAGGTTGGCAAAAATCAATCTAAGTGAAAAAATTCAGTCTGAAGTGTGTAACAATTTTCAAAGAAAATCGATCACTTGTAATTTTCCAGACAATCCAGTCAATATGCCCCAGCAACGGGTTGGCAATCGCCCAAGTGAAACAGGCCTCTCCATCCGACTATGAACACGCCATTCAAGCGTCTGAGGCTGCGTGGACGGTTTGGGCCGACCTGCCTGCCCCTAAACGAGGAGAAATCGTCAGGCAGATAGGAGACGCTCTTAGGAGCAAGTTGCTGCCATTGGCCCAGCTGGTCTCTTTGGAAATGGGTATGTAGTGGCCTCCTAGTGCGCTAAATGACGTGTTTTTGGGGGATTTTGCAGGCAAAATCTTGCCGGAAGGAAAAGGCGAGGTGCAGGAGTATATAGATATTTGCGACTATGCCGTCGGACTTTCTCGCATGATTTCGGGCGCTCTGATCCCCTCAGAACGTCCGGGACACGTACTGATGGAGAACTGGAACCCCCTGGGAGTAATTGGCGTTATTTCGGCATTCAATTTTCCGGTAGCAGTTTATGGTTGGAACAGCGCTATTGCTATGGTGGGTTTACAGCGTTAGATTAAGCGAGGGTACTGAGAATTTGCCTCTATTTATGTTGCAAACAACTGGCGCACAGTGGGGTATTTTCAATACAAAACTGATCGAAAATCAAAAAATTAAGTATGCGCTGGTTTTTAAAAATACTCATAAATGATAAGTAGACACAAGACTTGTTTACGCCGTGCTATCAAGAATTAGTTGATCTGGATTATTTGGCTGTAATTTTAAGTCAAAGACGACTAAAGCGCGTGTCCCATGCATCCATTTGTAGGATGATACGATGGTACGAAAGTGTTTCTATTGGTTAGAGATCTTGTCAATTCGTACGACGACGGACGAATTGACAGATCTCCAACCAATAGAAACACTTTGTATTGTATCCTATGTAGTGGCAAACTGGGCGCCGATTTAATATGGATGAGTAGTATTTTAAATTTAAAGTAAGAGAGTTTAAAAATAATGTAAAAAACATAAAGTATGACTTAAACAGAGGGGTATAGTTAACTATTTTCCTGAATTCAGCAAAGTTTTTTAATACTTAGTCCAAAGTAAACATCCAGCTTTTTGATGGTTAAAAAATTGGCTGCAACTTTTTTGCCAAAATTTAAAAAACTGCTCCAGTGTTGTCCCTGCAGAACTGAAATCCGTCGACTATACAGGGTGATTCAAAATTGGCGTCATTCTTTTTAAGGGGTAATAGGGGCTCACTTGGAAGGTACGAGAAAAATATTGAAATTTTTTTCCCGATAATTTCTAGAAGATATTAACAGTTGAAAATCGAATTTCAACTTTGTTATTAGGTATTATTTTCAAAGTATTCCATGTTTAATTGGAAGCATATTGGAATACTTCAACATTCAACAAGAAAAATTGCGATCTTTGCATCAAATTACGAAAAGTTTTGCTATTAAAAAAGTTCCTTTCTAAAATTGTTTGATGAAAAGTCAAAGCGGCGATGATGTTTTTTGTCATCTACAGATAGTTAAAGGTGGATAACCCATATCAATAATAACAATAATATGTCAAACTGTGACTTACTTTAAATTTTCTTTCACGAATTTGCGGATATGCGATTAGTTCGGGGGAAATGGTACAGTAACATAGCAGAAGCTGAAAGAACTCACGCCAACAAAGGGCGAGGAGAGTGGTTCCAGGAAGATAGTGGACGACAATCGATGTTCGGGTTCCAGACACAGAGGAACACGTATTGGACATAATTGCAGCAGAGCCTTCCAGGGGCACTCAGAACATTGCACAGCAACTGACACTTTCCCAGGCACCAAATAAATACCGGCTACATTCCTACCACGTATCTAAGATCACATTAAACCAATGGATTACTGAACACCGGTATAAATTGAGCAGGAGTTAATTAACCGAATACGAGAAGCTGCTCGAGAAGAGTGCATAATAAGGTGATTACACAGGCACTTGTTTGGAGTTACAGACTCAAATATATGTTTTTGTAATTTGGTTATGAGTTTCATCCAACAATTCCTGTTGAATTTACCGTTTATCCTTGTCTATCTTATTGTCTCCTTTCTCTATTTATCCATGGTTACCGGAGTTTTAAATAATTACGAAGCAACTTTTTCGAAAAACGCCAAGACACTGTGAACAAAATACCCAGGAAAGAAAAGGTATTCCTCTTGGGGGATTTCAACTCTAGAATCGGTAATATACCCATTCAAAGAGTAATGCAGAGGTTCAATGAAAACGTAATAAATAACAATGGTGAAATGCTATTAACATGCACACAACTAGAATTGCGTATCAATAATACGTATTTTAATCACTAGCCCCAATATAAATATACCTTTAACAACTCACGAGACCAAAAATCTTTATCGATTTCATAATCACAAACCGCAACATACATCCTAAAGAGATCCTGGACGTAAGAGTATTATTGACTTTGCAAATGCCACAAGGGAACATGGATTAACATTATGTGAATACCGCCAAAAATTAAGCATACAAAAAAACAAACCAGACGAATACATATCAAAATATATTCCTATCCAAAATATTCCCTATACATTAAAGCCTTTAAAAATCAAAGAACAATAACTTTATATCCGCAGGGATTGAGACAAAAAATCGCTAACAACCACATCGATGAACAGGATACGTGAACCAAGCCTGGGAAAAAATTGCATCTAACAAAATTAAGTGCAATAAAGGCGATAGGAGTGAGGAAAGTTAACATCAATGGAAGAAGAAACAATAAACCGTGGTTTACAGAAGAAGTTAAACAGCTGGCAAACGAGAAAGGAAGAGCCTACATTAGATACAGAAATGCGAAATCCCCAGAAGAGCACGAGGAATACAGAAGAGTAAGAAATAAAGTGAATCAAGCAATCAAAGAACTGAAGGAAAAATACTGGGAGAACTCCTCAACGGATATGTAGCATGACTTATATGGAGGGCAAAAAAAGGTGTGGAAAATGTTGAGAACCAGGAAAAAACCAGTAAATGAGGAGATACATGTAAACAATATCAGCCCAGAAGAATGGGTCCCATACGTTCAAGAAACATACAACAACCAGTCGGAAACCGAGATAGTGACCAGAATATAACCGACACGACACGAGTCAACAGATAAATACATCGCAAATAGAAGTAACGATAGAGGAAGTAACGAAAATCATAGGCAAACTGAAAAACGGAAAAGCACCAGGTGTAGATGGCATCAGTAATGGAATTATAAAATCTCACTTCCGGGTGAGAATGCTGCTAAAGAATTGACAAAACTTTTTAATAAAATAATTCAAGAAGAAATGATCCTAGAAGAATGGCATAACAATCCCAATATTAAAAAGGGCGTCAAAAAACAACCAAAGACCTATAGGGGAATAACCTTACTGAGCTTAAAATCTTCACAAAAATATTGGCTCAAAGAATCGAACAAAAATTAGGAATATGCGAAGAACAGCAGGGTTTCCGCCAAAACAGATCCACCATAGACGCAATCTTTATATTGAGACAATTAGCAGAGAAAGGGATTGAACACAAGCCAATATTTATGTGCATGGTTGACCTAAAACAAGCATTCGATAGAGTCAGGCTAACAGACATTGAAAATATGCTACACCTGCATGGCCTAGATAACAGATATATCCGCATAATAAGAGATGTGAATAGGAACGGCAAAACGCGAATCAAAGTTAACCAGAAACTAACACAAGAAGTACATTTAAAAACAGGAATACGGCAGGGTGACAGTTTAAGCCCCACAATTTTCAATATAATAATGAACGAGATTATCGAGGATGTTACACGAGAGGGAGTAGGATACCGAATGGCCCACAAATCTTTAAAGATATTGTGCTATGCAGATGATGCCGTATTGACATCAGAAAGTGAAGATGACCTGCAACGGTTACCATTTAGATTTAAACGAACGGCAGAACGATATAATATGACTATCTCCACAGAGAAAACACAATACATCGTCATATCTAAAGAATCCATCCGTTGTAAGTTGGCAGTCGATGAGAAGACAATAGAGCAAGTGATGAAGTTTGACTATCTTGGCGCGCAATTATCTAGCAGCTGGAATCTGATCGAGGAAACGAGGACATCGAGAATCTCAGGAAGCTTGCGAGACGACATCTGGAACAATCAATTCATGTCAATTCAGAGTAAAGTGAGAATCGACAAGACTTGTGTGAGACCAATTCTGACGTATGCATCGGAAACTCGAGCGGAAACATCTAGAACGAAACAACTAATGAGGTGCGCCGAAATGAAAACGCTAAGAACAATCAAAGGGATCAAATACGGAGCAGTACTATAAGAGAAGAATTACAGGTGGACGATGTAGTTAGATGGGTGAGATCAAGAAGACGGCAATGGAGAGATCACGTAGATGGAATGGAACAAGATAGAATTGCGAAATGGGCTAAAGACCACATACCACAAAGTAGAAGAC